TAATCGAACAAAATCCGGTTAACCGCAAAACCGGATAACTGGCGAAATCACTACCCGTAATACGGGTTGTTAGTAAATTAAATTAAAAAAAAACTGCAAATAGAAAAGCCTAGAAACTACTTTAAAATAGAAAAGCCTAGAAAATGACGTAAGTCGACTATTAACTACTACTATTAAATTAGCGTATTAATATTATCAGATAAATTAAAAAAATATATACAACTCTCAATTAAACTTAAAAAAAAAAACATTATCTGTAAATTGTTACTTTATTTAAAAGCGTTTTGCTAATATAAAAACATTTGTTAAAAGTTTTGATGTAATTTATTTCACATAAAGCCTAGTTCAGAATATTTTTTATTCAGCGCGTTTTTACGTTTTTTGAAATAGCAGTGGTCAAATTGTCAAAGCGAAATGTAATTTGCCTGGTCATAAGACATGCAATCACACATCTTCCTGTGAAAGCCTGTATATATGCATGTATGTATATTAAAAATTGAAAAAAAACTTTAATATTTAATATTTCAATCCTTTTGTATTAAATACCTGGAGAATCAAAGCTTGCCGCTGTTGGAGTTCTTACAATTTCTGCTCCAAGAGCTCGTAAAGTATTTACCTAAAAAAAAAATAACAAAACACCAGATAAACTAGATATAAATATACTACAAAAGAGATAAAATTTTTAACTTTTTAAGTGTAAACTTTTTTTTTTCTGTAGACTATGGTAGTTTAAACTTTACCTTTTCAGAACTCATTTTTTCTGGCATCACTATTATACACTTATAACCTTTTACAGCTGCAGCCAATGCAATTCCAATGCCTTAGATTAAAAAAAACAATAATAAATAACAAATAAAAATATATAAATAATTTTGAAATGAGAATAAAATTTAAAATAAGAAACTTATTTTTAATTTAAAAAACATAAAAAATTTAAAAACAAATAAATTCCTTACCAGTATTTCCAGATGTTGGTTCAATTAGGGTATCGCCTGGCTTAATTTTTCCTTCTCGTTCTGCATCAAGAACCATTCTATATCCAATACGATCCTTAAGAGATCCTCCTGCGTTGAAAAACTCACATTTTGCAACTACAAGAGAAATCAAGAAACTTTTATTAAACATTTTTAAACATAACTATTATTAACTACAGTTAGTTGTAAGAAAATGGTTCGACACAGTTTATAATATATATAAACTATATAAATATCATATATAATATATAAATATGAAGGCTCAATATAATTTTTTATAAAGTCCTGAACAAAATGTCCGAACAAAACTTGTTTGGGTCGGACAGTGTCCGGTCAAACTTATTTATTAAAATTTTTACGGTTTTATGGTTTTGCAATGGAAATGTTATTCAGTTTTTTTTTAACGTTAATTATTCAAAATATTTCATTGCATATTTTTGCATTTTTTTAATTAAATAGTTCCAATTTAATATTGTAGGTTTTTTTAGGCAGACTTTATTTTTCACGATGTAACTGATAACGCTCATTTTTTTTTATTATTCTTTTCAACTTGACAACAGCTGTTTTGAAGTTTTTACAACTTAAATACAATAAAAAAATCTCTACATTACAAACAAGGCTTAAAATCAAATCAAAAATTAATTATAATGATTGGTTAAATTTAATGCATTGTGCGTAAATTAAATGTTATATTTAATTTTTTTTTAGTATGTATTTTTTATGATAAATTTAAAAATTTGAAAATATTTCTAAAAAGGTTTTTTTATCATAAAAAGTCTTTCTAAACATCTTTTAAAAGATTATTTTTTTAAGTTACTTTATGAATAAGTTAATTTAAATGTTCCCATGATTTAAATGCTTTTTTTTTTTGTTTCTATTTTTAAAAAAACTTGACTTACTAATCAAAGCATAAAATGATTAATATTAAAAATTACTATTTTAAAAAGGCTAAGTTACTTTTTAAACTTATTAAAGTTTTTTTTGCAATTTTTTTAAAAAAATTATTCAACTAAAAAATATTATATTATTTTTCCTTTTAAATAACTTAATTTTGTTTTTCAATAATTTAAATAAAATTTGTTCATTTAATAAACAATTGATATAATTAACTTTTAAAAGCGTTTTGCGTAACATTAATAAAACATTTCAAAAGATAAGTTTTAAAGTAAATTATGTAAATTAATCGGACAATCTGATGTTTTAGCCAGACAATGTCCATTGTCCGACTATTAAATTGAGCCCTGAAATATAGTATAAATATAGTGTAAATAAATAGCATAACTTATTAATATAGTTATATTTATATATAATATTACTATTATATCATAAAACTATATTAATAAAGTTAACATAATAAATATATATATATAACTTATCATGTATAGTTACATATACATACATACATATATATATATATATATATATATATATATATATATATATATATATATATATATATATATATATATATATATATATATATATATATGTATATATATATATATATATGTATATATATATATATATATATATATATATATATATATATATACATATATATATATACATATATATATATATTTATATATATATATATATATATATATATATATATATATATATATATATATATATATATATATATATATATATATATATTGATATAGTTTACAAAAATTTTTTGTTGCTTATTTATAATGTCTCACGCATTTCACATTTAATGCCATTTTCGTTTGGTATTTTATTTAAGCGAACAAGAGGAGATTTTCCAATTTTGTGAAGAATGTTCGGTAATATTTTCTCTTCTTCCCTAATAAAAGGTAAAAATTAATATACAATTGTAAGCTAAAGTATATTTTGTAAAAAAAAGTACATATTATAAAATACCATAGAATTAATATAAAAAAATGTTTTAAAAAAAATTAATTTTATTTTATAAAGTTTTTTTATTTATTATTTCTTCCTTTGCAAGGATGGTAGCTTATAAACTAAAGTACACATTTTCAAAATAAATTTTTTGATAATTTTAGTTTTAGTTTATATTTATAAAAAAATATATAAAAATAGTTATAAAAATTGTGATTTTTCAATTTTTATTATTTTATTTTCAACTTTTATTAAAATTGTATGTAATTTATCAAATAATTTATAATTTTTCCAATTTCAATTTACATTATTATATAATTATATTTATTTTATTATAAGTATGCGTACCTTAAGCTTATTTCGATAAGGCGTAAACTTGGTAAAGGGTGGGTCTGTAGTTTGATACAAATCTCTTTAATGTTTTTTTTTTTTTGTTTTTTTTTTACACACACAGAGCTGAAAAAAGAAATGTGTCTCCGCTAAAATATTAGAGATAGAGAATGATTAGAGAACGTACCAGAAAAAAAAGGTAATAGGAAACAATTACTGGTATGCGCAGACGGCATGACCTAATTGAAACTTAAAAACTATGTGTGCACCTTACTTAGGAAATAGACTGAAAGGCTAAAATTTTATAAGAAATCTGAACGTGATAAGATGTGTATCATTCAAAAACATGCAAAAAAAGATTTTTTATATACAAATAAGATAAATGGTTATAAAGCAAACAAATGGCCAGCAGTATTTTAAAGAAAAACAAAAAAAATGTGGACAGTTGTGGGAGTCGAACCATGGACATTCCGTGAATAAAGATAAAGGCTTATCAAAATAAGATAAACGGGCATATACTTATAACAAAATATAGTTATATAATACAAAAAGTTATAAAAGCTTACACGCATGTTTTCTTATAGAGACAATATATACTTGTTACATAAAAATTATACAAATATAACAGATGACAATTTATTTTTTCACTTTTCTCTTTAAAAAAAAAAAAACATAGGAAAATCATTCTAATGTTTAAAACTGTTTTGTTTTTTTTTGCTTTGACTTAACAAAATTTTGTTGCTGAAAATAACAACCACTCTAAAATAACAAAAAATGAAAACAGTACAAAAATTATTTAAATTATTTTTTTTTCTTTTTCTATTTAAGTTTATTTTACTTTCCTATTTTGTTAGTTTTGCTTTCCTTGCGTTTGAAACTTTTTTCAGCAAAACATGCAAGTTTTCAGCTAAACTTGCAAATGGCCGCGACCAAGTTTTCTAAAATGAAATATTCATGCGTAGACATACAAGAAGGGTTTCCTGGGAAGGCTTGACAATCAATTTTATAAATCTTTCTAATTAAATATTATTACTTTAATACTGCACTTTAATCACAAGATTAACAATCTTGATTAACAAAGACACAAGATTAACAATCTTGATTAACAAAGACACAAGATTAACAATCTTGATTAATAAAGACACAAGATTAACAATCTTGATTAACAAAGACACAAGATTAACAATCTTGATTAACAAAGACACAAGATTAACAATCTTGATTAACAAAGACACAAGATTAACAATCTTGATTATTAAAGACACAAGATTAACAATCTTGATTAACAAAGACACAAGATTAACAATCTTGATTAACAAAGACACAAGATTAACAATCTTGATTAACAAAGACACAAGATTAACAATCTTGATTAATAAAGACACAAGATTAACAATCTTGATTAACAATCTGCACTTTATTATTGCAATCACATCTTGACACACTCCTACACTTACTTAACTTAACCTTAATTATATCTTAAAAAGAACTAAGCAACATAAGCCCACCAATAATTACTCTGGTGCAAAAAATTAATTTCAAGAATTATACACATAGGAAATTAAAGAGAGGCTCAGAGGCCTAGCCAAAAAATAATCTCATGCCATTGAAATTGGTAAAGATCCCTGAAAAAATGTGCTTAATCTAAAAATTATTATTCACAAAATAATATATACACCAAAGTGAAACAAATACAATGAAAAATTGTCACTTTTTTGTGTGTAAAATTACAACAGAAAAAGTAAACAAAGCTGTAACTGATAAAGTTAGATTTGGAAATTACATTAAGTGTTGCTGATGTTGAGTGCAGATTTTCTGCACTTAATCTCCTTTATACAAAACAGAGAAATTTTTACCTGTGCTTTCTTTAAATAAATTAACTTTTTAAATGTTGAAGGGCCTAGAATAACTCTACAAAATGTAAAAAATCTACCAAAAATAGTAGTATATTTCCATTCTTGCTTGCTAAAATTTGTGTCTATCTTTGGAATCAATAAAAGGATGATGTGATAATAACGATGTTAAAAACAGCATCATTTAAAGGTACAGAATTGAAATATTTTTTGTGCACAATGTATTCAAGAGTTTACCTAAATAGGTGTGCTTGGTCTAAAACACTTGTATAGGATTTTCATTTCCAGCACAACCTTTTTTTAGGAGCTATTCAGGTTAATTATATATATATATATATATATATATATATATATATATATATATATATATATATATATATATATATATATATATATATATATATATATATATATATATATATATATATATACATATATATGTATATATATATTATATATATATATATATATATATATATATATATATATATATATATATATATATATATATATATATATATTAACTTAAGGCTTGGTCGGGAAGCAAGTACGATCACACTTTATTCCAGACTAGACACATAAGATTTAGTTGCAACAACTTGGCCACATCTTTTTATATATTTTGAAAACATTTCAAAAATGCATAATAAAAGCTTAACCTGACTGATTGATAATTACAAAAAAAAAAAGACTCCTAATAAAAAAAAACTTAACTAAAACAAAATAAATTACATTTAGAATTAATAATTTCTAAACTTTGCTCATTTATAATTTTTTTAACAAATTAAACAACATTCTATCATATAAAGTAATAACTTATTATTAATGATCGTTTAATAAGGACATAAACATTCTTCAATTTATCAAAAAAAGTCACATTATTCTTTATTAAAGTATTTATGTTATATTTTAACAAGAATCATAAAATTAACACTAGTTGAATTGTATAAATATTTTTTTATAACCATTTCATGCTTTGCGTAGTTTATATTTGATACAATTCTTTTTAAGATGAGCATTATGCTTTGCATATAATGCTTTGCATCATATAAAATATTTGAAGCAATTCTTCTTAAGTAAAAAGAAATCATTGAGTTACTAAAAAATATTACAATGATCGTTTCTTTTAGCAGCGTCTTTAAAATGTTGAAAAATTGTTTTAAAAGATTTACACTTACCATAAAAAATACTTTTTAAATAATAAAAAAATAATCTATATTTATATAACTTGTTAAACTTTATATAACTTTTATTAAAACTTATAAACTTCATGATCTAAAAAAAAAAATTAAATAATTTTTTTAAATAAACAATAAATAAAAGTCAATCATCACTTAGATTCAAAGTATTTTTATAATATAAAAACACTTAATTATAAAAGATTAATCTTACAAAATTAATTATTTTAGCTGAAACTTAATCTTTCAGACATATAAGGATATATACGTCTGAAAGTATATGTCTTACATACATAACTTTGAATATTTTTAAAACATCTACAGAGTCGTGGCCAAGTTATTACAACTAAACGTTATATAAATAGTCAGGAATAGAGTTTAAATTTGCTAAATATCATAAAATAAATTCATTGCATTTAAGTTCAATACTTAAACTTTTCTTTTTAGATTATTCAAACAAAGTAAAAATAAGTTTATAAGTATCAAAAAAGTTATTAATTGACCATAGCTTCTTTACTACCTACAAAAAAAAATTGAGTTTCAACTACAAAATATTTTGGTTCACAAGGCAGAAAAAATTACAACCCTTTCATTTACACTTAAAAGAAGTTATCTGCTGCCAAATAAATGTACAAAAATTAATGCTAATTATTTGGGTTGGAGTTCTCAAAATGACTTTATTAAAGAGTGTAGAGGACTCTTCCATGGTGTCATCAATACAGAGGCTAATAAAACCATTTACTATTGCATGCTCATTGATGGAACTCCTAACAACTTTTATATTAAGCAATTCACCTTTGTCTTCTGATTTATCTAATAAATAATGTTTATAAAAGATGGGTAGTTAAGAAGTGTTTTATCAGAAAGAACAACTTAAAAAAAAAAGAAATGTCATTTCCAAGGTAATTAGGGGCATCTTGGATTAAAATAACATCAATTTGAAAAACTGTGGAAGTCAAGGATACAACAACTGAGCAAAAATGTTTGGTGTTTACAAAGGAGTACATCAAATTATATTTCAGAAGAACCCTCAAGCTCTTTACATGTCATACAGCTTTTATAACTTTAACCTTCCCAGTGATTATTCCACTAAATTTTCCATTGAAGTTGAGAACTATTTTAGTCAGGTTTAGTTACTCTACAATCTTTTAAATGGAAGCTCTATTTGATAAAATTTCTTGCCCAAGAAGTCTCTTCATGAAGTACACGCAATGAGGTTGTGAAGCTGTCTGTTAAGCAACCTAGGGAAATTCTTATACCTTTGCAGTGACTTTGATCTAGCTGCTGATCTATTTAATGAAGTAAAACCTCTGGAGAAATGGATTTATTCATTTCAATTTATCATAAACTTTATGGTTCAAAGACCTTTCAAGAAAAACCAAGAATGAAGTTCAAACAGTTTTTCACTTCTATGGTTTTTTAAATCTAATAGTAGGTGCAGGGGAAATAAAAAACTTTGGCGCAATTCTTTGTAAACAATGGGAAAAAAGAGGAATTTATTGAAGAGGTTTATCATCTGAATACTCTAAGTTGCATCAATTTTTTTGGTCCTATTTCACTAAGCATTATTAACACAACTCCTGTTCCTGTCATTGAAGGAGATCAGTCATTCAGTAAACTTGGTCTAGTGAAGACAGCACAAAGATCTATGACAAAAGACCAGCTTACCAGACTCCTAGTTATATCTATTGAGCACGATCATGCAAAAACATAACAACAAAATTTTGAAAAAAACTGCTATAACAAAACTGTTGCAAATTTAGCTATGATTAAAGCCTGGAAAGTTAGTTTCTCATGAAGCAGACCGTAGATTAACTGTTACACCTACTCGAATTGTAAAGAAATATATGCATATTGATATAATATATCTAATATATATATATATATATATATATATATATATATATATATATATATATATATATATATATATATATATATATATATATATATATATATATATATATATATATATATATATATATATATATAATTTGCATCCAAACTAATTAGTCAACTCAATTTTGCAAGTGATAAAAATAAAATAAACTATTATGCTTACAGATTAAATGGCATATGATAATGAGGAGAACTTTTTATATCAGCTCCAAGATGCCATGTGCATTTTGATGGAAGATCTGGTCTCACCCAATGCTTCTGAAAATCTTCCCCACTCATACTTTTTGTTCGCTTTTGATTCTCTAACATATTAAATAAATTTATCGATATACAATATTATTGTCAATAAAAAATATGATATGCTTGGCATAACAAGAACTGCCGCGAGTCTACAATGTGACTTAAGGCAAAAACTTATTTTCAAAAATTTGCACACACATCCTTAAAGTAAATAACCAATTGATTGAAATTTCTATCAAACTTAAAAGATTTCATGCGTGTGTCCATACGTCGTGTAAGACAAAAACAACTTGTTTTCCGTGAAATTTAAAATATAGGTAAATAAACAAATAACATAAAGAGAATCGAACAATAAAAAAAAAAAAAAACCTAAACGTGATTTTATATATATATATATATATATATATATATATATATATATATATATATATATATATATATATATATAGATTATATATAGATTATATATAGATTATATATATAATATATAAAATATCTAATACCTAATATTTTCTTTAACCATTTTATTGTATCTATTACTTTAGATTATTTTTTTTCTTTATATTATCAAGAATACTTACACGTAGTACTTGATTATAATCAAATAATAAGTTTACTATCTTAAAAAATCAGACGCGAGACTCAATTTCTGCACGGAACGCACTTTGCGCATTTTTAATTACGTTTCGTGATTAAAATTTAGACTTTAAAACTTAATTAGGATATAAAATTCGCCATCAAGAAAAAATATTTTTTGATATTGAAAGTTGTTCTATAAAGTGAGACTTATGAAATTTTAAGCCTGAATTTTAATTCTGCAAAAATATTATGAAAATAAACTTTCTGTAGCTTTTCTACTTCCTTTGTGCTAAAAAAAACAATAAGTGTTAACCTTTCAATATGTTAACCTTTCAATATGTTAACAAATAATACGATAACCTCTTTATTTAATATTATTTTTTAAGTGGGTCTTAGTTTTTATAATGAGTGGGATCATTCATAATAAACAAACTCTAATTTAATTAATAAACAAATCAAAAAGAATCACAAGTTTTTTACTATCAGAGTTTTTAATGTAATTAAAAATGAAAAAGGCGCTTCAAATTTTATGAAATTTGCCGCGCAAAAGAGCAATAGATCTTTACGAAATCAAAACCCCAATTGCAACCGCAACGTCTGAGCACAAAATGTTTGTAACACGCATGTGTGAGCTTAGAGTAAATCCTTACTCAAGTTTAGTTGATAGCATGAAATAGTTATTAAACCGTAAAATTTTTAAAAACTTAGTTATAGTGTTTGAGTTTATTTTGTGGTAAATTTCATATCGTTTTATCTGCTAACTGTTTGTTTTAAATCAAAATTCTTATATAATTAATATATGTATATATATATATATATATATATATATATATATATATATATATATATATATATATATATATATATATATATATATATATATATATATATATATATATATATATATATATATATATATATATATATATATATATATATATATATATATATATATTAGTGATGTGCCGGGTACCCGGTTCGGACCCGGGGACCCGGCAAATCGGCTGTTTTACCGGGTACCCGGTATCGGCCATTTTGTTGCAGTACCCGGTACCGGGTATCTTCAAATTGATTTTTCCTTAAATTTAAACTTTAACCATCAAACTTCTTGATATAAGTTTAAGAATGTTATGTAGTTGATAACCACAAAGTTTTATTAACTTAAAAGAATCTCACTTAAAATATTTTTTAATACATTTTTGCAAAAAAATTTATACAGATACAAAAACTGTAACGCTAAATGAAATAATTCGAGAATACGAATAAAAAGAATGGGAAAAAAAGTTTTAGAATAGCTTCTTTTTATTCTGTTAGAACACAAGATAATTTTTAGCAATTTAGTTTTGAATGAAACGCTTATAATGATTTCGAACGCTGATGCCACTTTTTTCGTATCAAGCAAAAATCATAAAAGTAGAGATATTAGGTAAATATTATACACATTTTTCATATTTTAGTTTCGATGATTATTATAACAAAATAATATTTAGGCCCGCTCCACCAAGAAAGAAAATAATTTTAAACTAAATGTAGTAATTAAAAAACTGTTGCACAACTTTTGAAAAAAGTTAGGCCCGACAACTCAGGCCCCTTACCCTGCATTGCGGGGTTTTGCTAAATGGTACTTCCGCCACATAACTTTTGGTTAATTAGCGTAAAAAGCGTATTTTGTGTGAAAGCGTATTTTGTGTGAATAGTTCAGCGCTAGAGATTTTACAAGTTTTTATTCCAACTTTTAAAAAATGGACTCGGTGCCGAGTACCCGGACTCGGACCCGGTTTTTTCAGCCGGGTACCCGGAATCAGAGACTCGGCATAAACTGGTTCCGGCACATCTCTAATATATATATATATATATATATATATATATATATATATATATATATATATATATATATATATATATATATATATATATATATATATATATATATATATATGACGAAAAGATTCTTTAAAAAAAAATTACTGTGATAGGAGAACAATGTGAATGGGAACAAGAAACCCTAAAATCATAGTCTTAGGGTTTCTTATTCCCATTCTCCTATCACAGTAATTTTTTCATAAAGAATCTTTTCGTCATACATATAAACGTAAAAAACTTGAAATATTCTAGTTGTTTTAAGTTAGTTATTTCAAACATTTAAAAACCTTCCCTATTTATATATATATATATAAATATATATATATTTATATATATATATATATATATATATATATATATATATATATATATATATATATATATATATATATATATATATATATATATATATATATATATATATATATATACCCAATTGTGTTAACAATAAATTCATGATATGATTTGAAAAATCATACACAATTGCGGTATTGGTCTTGAAAATCGCGGTAATTTCTTTGATAAAAAAACGAAATTGGATCTTATATTTTATTTTATCATCCTGGTATGTCGTCTAAATTAAATCTTTGATAACTTTGATAAGGTAAAGTTAAGTTAAAAGTTAAATTATTAGATTTATCTTCATTATTTATTATTTTATCACCATGAAAAATAAGTAACTCTTTGCAAACCTGGGATAAATATTTATTTAAAAACTTTTTGCTTTTTTGTTGTGATTTTGCACTGAATAAACTTTTATTTTAAAATTATAAGCATCTATATGCAAAAAAAATCTTACAGAACTATACAAAAACTTTTTATTCTGTGACTTTTTCGGAGTAGTTTTCGGAACGATAATTAACTTGAAACGGCTACGACAACGACGACTTAAAAAATGTTACGTTCTCGTTGCAGTAGACTTTTGATTTCGTAAAATCGCCAATTAGACTGTAAAGCATGTAAAATGTAAACTGCAAGGACAAATAGAAGAATTATTTCTAAGACTTAATCCTAACCCTGAATCTTAATGCGAAGCCTCTAACAGTTTTTAAAGCGTCTTTGATTTTAGGCATTGCTTAATAAAAATTTTTAATACAAAGATTAAATATTAAGTATAATAAAAACAATATTATAAAAAAAAGGCAAATACGCATAACCCTAAAGCTTTCCTTTTAAACCAGTATATACCTTGAAATATTTGAAGAACAATGCAGAATTTTATAAATCATAAGCTTTTATAGAAAAATGACGTAATTACACAACTTTTTATAATAATAGTAATGTAAAATTATGATGTTCCTCAAATATAACGGTTTTTAGAGCCTAAAATGAAATTCAAACCCAACCCATTTGCAAGGGCAAAAAAAGACTCCATTTTGTATTATTTCATAAACATTTTATTAGTTAAAAATTTAGTTAAAAAAAAAGTTAATTAAACCTAAAAAAAAAATTTAAAAATCGTGCACATCAACAACCAAGGGTTGAAATGATTTTAAAAAATTTGCGTAATTAACTGGTAGCAAGTCACATCCAGATAAAATATGGTTTAGGTAAACTTTGCTCACTGCATTTAAAGAATCATCACAGGATTGCACACATGCAATATATACATAAGCATCAAATAACTTGTCATTAGATTTCACGGAAACGATTTCTCGTTTGTAACAGTTTTTATCAACTCCTTCATACTTGTCAAGGATAGTGAGTACTTCAGGATCACATTTATATAGTATTCCATGAACATTGGAACCAATTTTTGGTCTAATATTTGCAGCTGCAGTTCCGTTTTTCCGTTTAAAATTGAGAACAAATTCATAATTTTCCAGTGTTGCTAAAACTCTTTCAGAAAAAGTTGCGTTGCGCGACTCCATACGCTTCGGATTCATGTTGGATCCATAGGCAAAGTAATTGACTTTTGCCATTTTTTCTAGGTTAAAAAAAAATAAACTTTATACGTTAATAAAAAAAAATTTAAAAAAAAGGAAAAAGAAAAGACGTCAAAAAACTAAAAACTAAATGGATCGAAAGCAAGGTTAACGTAATAACAAGGAATTTTGAAAAAAATGTTGTGAGAGTATAGAGGTAAAACTGAAAATTGTGGAAAGCAAAAAGTTGAGACATCAATTAGCGTTGTGTTTTTATGTGGACACTGTATTTCAGTATCTAAATTTGTGTTTCTTTTTTTTGTTGTTCTTAGAATGAAGTTTGTATAACCCAGTAATTATCTAATGATTGAAACAATGAAGTCAACCTAAGGTGTAATGCTAAGGGGAGTACAATTAAAAAATTCATAAACAACAAAAATGGAGATCTGCAATAACAAGGTAACTGATAAAAATTTGATGTAATTTTCATCACCTCGGAACATCAAAAGCCTCAACTAATGCGCGTGTTACCTTAGTCTGTCAATTATTTTTAACATAAATTGACATATTTATCATATATTACCATAACTTTTAGTAAACCAGTCTTTATATAAACGAGACATTTTAATAAAGAACTAAACATATACAAAGTCTCGTGAATTTAATATTCTGTTTGTTGCGTTCAACTGACGAAGGCATATCACTTTTTAGGCTTCATGTATTTCAATATAAATCAACGACATTTATACAAAACTGGTAATTATCCGTTAAGTAAAATTAAGTATTAATTAAAGTGTTAAGTAAAATTAAGTAAAGTTAAGTAAATTAAGTATTCCCTAGATATCAAGAAAATTGCCGCAAAAAAAAACCATTCAAAATACCGTAAAAAAACGTCATCGCGTGACATATAATAAATTGCAAATATTCTTAACAAAATACTAAAATGTTAATGACAAAAGAAAGTTTTTAACTTTAATAAAACTAAAAAATTCAACAAACCTACGTTCCTTAGACACTTCATAAGCATAAACTAATGGTAAATTCTGCTCCCATACAGCATTCTATACAAAAAATAACACAAGAGTTAAAATAAAAATAAAATAAAAAAAAGATTTTAAGAGGTTAATTAAGACCCTTGAACATTTAATAGGCCTCTAATATTAGCAAAAAAAGTTCTTCAAAAATAGGCCAACCTAACTCAATACTCAAATGAAGTGAAATATATATATATAAATATATATATATATATATATATATAAATATATATATATATATATGCATATACATATATATATATATATATATATATATATATATGTATATGCATATATATATATATATATATATATATATATATATGCATATATATATATATATATATATATATATGAAGTTAACTCCGATTTAAAACACCCCCTGCCTTGGGGCTCTTGGTTGAGTAAAGGCTAGAGATGGTGTCTCGATAAAAATACTCATCTTGGGCAGATGTTACATGCATCCAGCTGCTGTCTTGTAGAAGGCCTCCTAGGCAAAGACTTAAGGGGTAAACAGATTCTATCTGTTGACCAGCCTCGCACCCCTTCCTCATCTATTAGGCTGGCGCAGATGTATTTTTAATACATTGTTTCCAGTTTAGGATGTTGAACGCTGGATCTTCTTGACTCAATGCGTGGGCATTGCTTGTGTCTCTATTTTTATGACTGGGCAACTCATTCTATTATCTCCTAATGAGGGTACAGCTCTAAAACTCAGTTTTATGGTTCTGAGGCCGGCTGGTAGTCAGGTCTCCCGAACTCTGTGGTAGCTCTCAGAGAGGCTGATTCCATCAACAGCCGAAAAATATCAGAGTACTAACAGTGCCATGTTGCGCATGGATGGTGTCCCTGTTTGTACTTTTGGTGTGCATTGCAGAGGCCACATTTGGAGCCCTTTGTTACGGCTTAGGGTTTATTAATAGTAATGAGGCTATTGCTTAGTTGTTAAATAGTGTACTGAGTACTATCTATACTTGAGTCAAGTTCTTTATAAATTTAAAATGACTAAAGTACCTAAAACTAAAAAACACAAAAAACCATTGTCATCACCAAGTTCTCTAAACCTATCATTTACTAATATTCGTGGTCTTCGAAGTAACTTTTCTTCTGTTGAGTCTTATCTCTTGCAAAGTTCACCAGACCTACTTGCTCTTTGTGAGACTAATTTGAGTTCAGCTGTCCCATCTTGTGATCTTAGTGTTGATGGTTATCTTCCTTTAATTCGTAAAGACTCCAATAATCACATGCTTGGCCTGGGCATCTACATTCGTAAGAACTCACCCATTTGTCGTGAAACTAGGTTTGAATCTACAGACTATTCATTTATGTGCTTTCGTTTAGCACAACTTCACTCTATCGCCTTTCTCTTTGTTCTATATCGCTCTCCTTCATCCCAAGATTGCACTATTCTTGATGTTATTTCTGATCAAATTGACCAAGCCCTCTCTCTTTATCCATCGGCCAATATTGTCGTTGTTGGTGACTTTAATGCCCATCACACCGATTGGCTTGGCTCTAGTGTCAGTGACTCTGCTGGCGTTAAGGCTCTCAACTTTTGCCTTTCTCAATCTCTAACTCAAATAGTCAACTTTCCAACTCGTTTTCCAGACAACTCTAATCATTTACCTTCTCTACTCGACTTATGTCTTGTTTTGGATCCTAGTCAGTGCTCAATTTCTCCACATTCACCCTTAGGTACTTCTGATCACGGTTTGATCTCTCTAAAACTATTATCAAATTCTTCTACTTCATCAGAATCCCCCTATCATCGTACCACATACAACTACCTTAAAGCTGACTGGGACTCTTTCCGTGATTTTCTTCGTGATGGCCCTTGGGTAGAAATCTTTCGTCTTCCTGCTGACAAATGTGCTTCTTACATAACTTCGTGGATTCAGGCTGGCATGGAATCTTTTATTCCCTCTCGACGATTCCAGGTCAAGCCTCACTCTTCTCCTTGGTTTTCCTCACATTGCGCAGTAGCAATTTCTAATCGAAACCGTTACTTCCATATCTATCAGCAAAACAATTCTCCAGAAAACAGACATCTGTTCACTATCGCCAGAAACCATTGTAAAAAGGTTTTGTCTGACGCTAAAGCTCGCTATTCCCAGGTCATTAAATCTCGTATCTCATCACAAAAATTAGGCTCTCGAGACTTCTGGAGAATCTTTAACAGTATCAATAATAAGGGCAAATCTGTTATTCCTTCTCTCTTGTATGGTTCAGACTTTGTCACCTCACCTAAAGACAAAGCTGAATTGTTTGCTAAGAACTTTTCATCAATATCATCTCTTGATTCCACTAGTTGCGTTTTACCTGACATAGCCGTCAAACAGGTTGATCCCTTGCTTGACATTCGCATCACTTCAGCTTCTGTATCTAAAGTAATTTCCTGCTTAGACTCTTCAACAGCTTGTGGTCCTGACAACATTCCTGTTGTAGTCTTGCAGAGGTGTTCTCCGGAGCTTTCATCCATACTTTCTAAACTATTTAACAAGTGCTTATCAGAGTCTTGTTTTCCATCATGCTGGAAAGCAGCATCTGTTATCCCTATTTTCAAAAATTCCGGAGAGCGATCTGATTCATCTAACTACCGTCCCATTAGTCTTCTTCCTGTCATAAGCAAGGTTTTTGAATCTTTAATCAACAAACACTTAATCTCTCATCTTGAATCAAATAACTTACTTTCTGATCATCAATATGGATTTCGGTCTTCTCGTTCTACAGCTGATGTGCTAACAGTAATAACCGATAGGTTTTACCGTGCATTAGATAGAGGTGGAGAGGTTAAGGCTATCGCACTTGACATTTCTAAAGCTTTTGATAAAGTTTGGCATGCTGGTCTTCTCCATAAGCTTTCTTCTTATGGTGTAGCTAGTAACGTCTTTAAGATTATTGAGTCCTTTCTTTCCAATCGTAGTATAAAAGTTGTCCTCGATGGACAACACTCTTCTTCACATCCTGTAACTTCAGGGGTTCCTCAAGGTTCAATCCTTGGCCCTATACTCTTTTTAATTTACATTAACGATCTTCCAGATATTCTCACATCTAAGGTGGCATTATTCGCTGACGACACTACCATTTACTCTTGTCATGATAAGAAGCCTACACTCTCTGATTGCTTGGAGGGGGTATCTGAGCTTGAAAAGGATCTCACTTCTGCTACAGCATGGGGCTCACAGTGGCTGGTGAACTTTAATTCAGATAAAACTCAATTTTATTCGGCCAATCGTTATCGTAATAATTTAGATCTTCCTATATTTATGAATGGTAATGTACTAGATGAGTCATCTACCATTCATCTTCTAGGATTAACTCTTACTTCTGATCTTTCTTTTAAACCGTATATCAAATCCATTGCAAAATTAGCATCTGCTAAGGTTGCATCTCTTTATCGAGCTCGACACTTTCTTACTCCAGATTCTATTCTCTATCTCTATAAATCTCAAATCCGTCCCTGTATGGAATACTGTTGCCACATCTGGGGCGGATCTTCTAATGATGCTCTTTCTCTTTTAGACAAGGTGCAAAAACGAATTGTAAACATAGTTGGACCTGCTCTGGCAGCCAATCTCCAACCTTTGTCACATCGTCGTAATGTTGCTTCTCTTTCTCTTTTCTACAAATACTATAATGGGCACTGCTCTAAAGAGCTAGCGTCCCTTGTGCCATCTACTAAAATTCATTCTCGTGTTACTCGCCATTCAATTAAGTCTCATCCTTTTTCTGTGACTGTTCCTAAGTGCTTCAAAAACTCTTATTCTTCTAGTTTTTTTCCTCGAACATCAGTTCTTTGGAATTCGCTTCCTTCATCTTGCTTTCCTGATTCATATAATTTGCAATCTTTTAAGTCATCAGTCAATCGTTATCTTGCTCTACAGATTTAGTCTTTTCTCTTCCAGTAACTTCCAACTCTTATAGTGGTTGCTTGCAGCCTTGTTGGAAGTGAAGATGTTAAAAAAAAAAAAAAAAAAAAAAAATATATATATATATATATATATATATATATATAATTATTTGATACAAAGGTCTGATCATAAAACATAGAAACGAGATCGGCAATTTTTTGCTGACCTTAAACACTTTCAGGTTGGCAGTTAGGTCGGCCGACCTAGCTGGAAAATGGCATCTGTTGTTCTATTTGCAAAAAACTCTGGTAAACATACTGACTCCTCCAAATATTGTCCAATCAGTCTTCTTTCTGTTTTTAGCAAGAGTCTTTGAGTCTTTGATAAACATATTTCTCACATTCCAACTTTAGTCAAATAATTTGCTGTCAGACAACCAATACGTGTTTCAATCCTCTTGCTCTACAGCTGACTTGCTAACTGCTGTGACTGAAAGATTTTATCATGCATTAGATGGAGACTATTACTCTAGACATGCCTGAGGCTTTCAACAAAGTTTTACATGTTGGTCTTCTCTATAAGCTTGTTTCATATGGTGTATCTGGGAAATTTTTGAGATAATCAAATCGTTTTTTTTCTAACCGTCTTAATAAAGTAATCCTTGAAGGTCAACACTCTTCTTTATTTCCAGTAACTTCTGGGGTACCTGAAGGTTTTATTATTGGTCCTGTTTTATTACTTATCTACATTAATGATCTTCCTGACAACCTCACATCTAAAGTAGCTCTTTTTTCTAATGACTCAAACTAATGCTAATGTCTTGACAAAAATTTATTCTCTTTTTGATTAGAACAGACAGCCCATCTTGTATCTGATCTCACTTCTGTAACTGATTGGGGCTTACAGTGGCTTGTAAATTTAAATTCCAACAAAACTCAGTTATTTACCTCAAATAACTATTGCAGTACTGTTGACACTCCTATTTTAATGAATGGCAACCCTCTCACTGATTCCTCTTCTTTGCGTCTTCTTGGATTATCATTTACTACTGACCTTTCATGGAAACCATATATACAATGGATTGCTAAATTAGCAAATGCTAAGGTTGCTTCTTTTTATGGTGCTCATCATTTTCTTTTTCCTGATTCCATTCTCTACCTCTACAAATTTCTTATTTGCCCCTGTATGAAATACTATTGTCATATTTGGGGATGGTTTTTCTAATAATGCTCTTCCTAACATGATAGTGGTTGCTTGCAGCATTTTTGGGAGTAAAAAAGAATTAAAAAAATATAGATAACAATGCCTAAATTGGTTACTTTTAAAGCTTTTTCCTGTAAACAAAGTCATAAAGAATAAAGTCAGTTTATTTATTATTTAATTGTTATAATAATGTAGGATAAAAATATTAAAATGCCATCGGTTGGAAAATCGGTAAAAGTGGCCGATGCCGATACCAATTCTGATTGTGCAAAAAATGGCCGATAAAGCCCATGCCAATTAATCGGTACATCATTAATGTGTGTATATATATATATATATATATATATATATATATATATATATATATATATATATATATAAGGGACAAACCCAGACCTGTTTTAATGCAGTTAGAGTGATACTAAAAATTGTTGATTATTTGTTTGTTATTATTATTTTTTTTTTTTTTTGCTATTATTTGTTATTATAATTATTTTTTTTTTATGAAAAGTAAAAAATAAGTTTTGATTTTTAATGCAGTAGCAGGGCAAACAACAACAGGCTGAGGGTTCCATGGGCACTACCCCTCTTCCCTTTTTTTCTGAAGAACCATTTTTTTATATAGAAATTTCTAGATATATAGGACTTTCTTTAAAAATTGACCATTGTGCTCCTCTACTTGGAAACCTGTGTGGTTGGCCCTGAGTAGAAAATAACTTTATTTAGCTAGTTCATTATATCTTCAGAAAAATAAAATGAATTAAAAATTATCTGCTTAACTCATTTCACTTTTAAAACTGTGGTTTGAATACTTAATAGAAAGTTAAACTTACAAAAATAAATTAAAACTTTTTACCGAGGTTGTGGAGTCAGAGTATTTTTTAAAGAATTCAAAGAATTTAAAAAAAATTTTTTTTTGCTTTGGAGTTAGAGTCGGAGTCGGAATTGGAGTCGGAGTCAGAGTTGTACTCAAAAATTTTCAACAACTGGAGTCGGAGTCATTACTTTTTTTTAAAATATATATAATGGAATTTTTTTATATATGGAATATATAAAAAAAATTTTGAAAGATAGAACAATTTTAAAATATATATAATGAATATTTAATGAATAAATAAACTTAATAATAAACTGAGCTTATTTTAAGTTAGTATTTTAAAGACCTTCATTCCCTCAATTTATCAACAACTTTAATGTAAAACTGAATAAATTTAAAAATAATTTCTGACATTCATTTTACCTTGTTGCGATAATTTTTTACTCATTTTAACTTCTTTTTGGTGACACTTGTGAGAGGTTATGTCTATTTTTAATAGCTTTATAAAAGAATATTTTTTATAATTATTAGGTAGTTTGGTCTGCGTGACATTCTTCACACTATCATAAATATCTAAAGCTATTTACAGATACATTTTCAACCCATATTGCTGAATGAAATTTCTGAGGAAATATAAAAATAATCGTTACCTAAATATACGCAGGACACACTTTTTCCTGCGTATATTTAGGTAACAAAATCTTACTTTCAAAAAAAAGCAGTTTTTGAAAGTAAGATTTCCTAAGTACCAAAACACATTAAATTTATTTGAAAATTTACATACATATTAAAAACAGGATAAGGAATCTAATGGAATAGGGAACCTTTTTAACATTTATACATAATTTTTAAGGTCTCAGCGTTTAAAAACTTTAAGATTCGTTTATTTAAAAAAATAACTTTTTTTAAAAAAGTTCCTTGTGAAAAAAGAAAGTATAGCCTTTCTTCGATTCAAATCAAGTATTAAATTGTTTTCTTGATAAAATAGAAATTATGAATTAGAAATAATGTGTATAATGTTTTTATTCCTTTGTGTATTGTTTGTTTTGATTTTTGCCCTTGATTTTATGTTTTTCTATGTTATTTCGGTGCCACTTCACGCCAAATCTTCTATACTTAAAAACAAGAAGTTTTGTCAAAAAAAGTTTTTCCAGCACAAAAAATGCAATAACTTTGGATTCAATTACCTTCTAAAGTTGAAAGAACCCTCATTTTTTAAGTCTTTTTAAGCTCTATACAATTATGTTAATTATATATAAATATATTGACAAAAAAATTTAAGTTTAACTGAAAGAAAATCCCTAAATTTAGTGAAAATTATTTTAATTAAATTCAAATACCATATACATATAGCTATGGTTTAAAATCAAAATCAAAAATCAATAGTAAAAAATTAACCCAAAATCATTTGATTTTGAGTTAAAATTCAACGATTTAATTATTTAAACTTTGGTTTTAAACCATTTGATTTATAACCATTTGAACCATTTAAATCTTACCCAACACTTCAGACTTGAAAATTAAATTGCGAACATTAATATATTCTCTGCAGTAAATTAATACCACCACTTGAATTATTCCATCCCCCAATGAAAAATAGAAACAAGAATGCGCTTTTAAGTTATAGCTATTAGAAGTGTACCTAAAACGTCCGAACTACCTTTGTAAACATGTTCCAGTGAGCAAATTTAGGTTTCGCGTTTTTCGTAAAATCAAGACCCGAATTATTTAAATTTATTATAAGTTACAAATGATGACTTACTTAAATAATTATTATAGGGGAAATGGAGTATACTGTATACTCTATAATTTATACAACTTTATATCGAGTTATAGGAATGCAAAAAAGAATATATGCCTGACCAGGAAATGTTAAAAAACTTCAAAAAAATTTTTTTTTTTTTAATGATAGACTGCCTGCCCAAACCAAACCACTTACGCATGTTTTTAAAATGTTTTTTAATAAAACAAAAAAAAAACCACCACTAATTAAAAAAAAACTTTCTAGTCATTATTATTCAATTATTATTATTTTATTTATTTATTATTAGTATTAATTTAATTGCTTTGACATTTCGACGACAATAAAATGCAGCTTAAGAGACGAGGTAAAAAAATTGTAGTCGAAAGAGACTTTTTTTACCATAAAAGTCTCTTTCGACAACACTATAAGAATATATATATATATATATATATATATATATATATATATATATATATATATATATATATATATATATATATATATATATATATATATATATATATATATATATATATATATATATTCTTATAGTATATACTCTTACTGGAAATGTTAACATAATTCCAACAATATATATATATATATATATATATATATATATATATATATATATATATATATATATATATATATATATATATATATATATATATATATATATATATATATATATATATATATATATATATATATATATATATATTGTTGGAATTATGTTAATATTTCCAGTAAGAGTGCTCAATACAGCGTTTTATATAATTAGTAGAGCAAATAATATAGTGAAAACTAAATAATTATTAAGATATATTTCAATTACATAACTAAAAGTTTCACGCAATAGCGATCATCAGATGTAACAACCTGTTACATCTGATGTTTGCTACCTGTTACATCTGATGTTCGCTGGTTGTTACATCTGATGATCGCTATTGCGTGAAACTTTTATTTATGTAATTGAAATATATCTTAATAATTATTTAGTTTTCACTATATATATATATATATATATATATATATATATATATATATATATATATATATATATATATATATATATATATATATATACATACAAGGCCGGCGCGAGTAGGTGTCACGTGGGGGGTGCCAACACAATTTTTGCTAGAAGTTGGCTTAAAAGCCATTAGGAATTGTTTCCTTTTTGTCTTTTTCCTTATTGCCTCCATTTAGAGCACTAATCCTCAATTAAACTTAAATTCATTAAAATTCATTAAAACTTACAATTTTGTTTTTTCCTTCTGTGCTATTAAAGTTGTCTGAAGCATGTAAGCATGTAACTTGTACTTTGCCTAACAAACAATGCTCCAAAAGCTTGTTAGGGTTGTTAAAAAGCATGTTAACATGTTAGCTACTTAATAATTGCAATGTTATTACTCAAATGGTTATTATCTCTTCGCGAGTGACCTGTTTGTATTATAAAGGAGAATTGATGGCCGTAATTCAAGCAGAAAAGAACATGTAAAATTATTAATACGAATTATTAAAAAAGATTAAATTTAACAAAAAAATAAATAAAAAAAGGATGGTTACTCAATTTTATGACATCTTTTTTAAGTGGGGTATAGACAAAACAGACAACAGATAACAAAAGAAGGAAGAAGATTCAAAATTTGCCTGAAAAATGGACAACCTTTTTATGGACAGCCTCTAAGCAACGAGAAAAGATGCGTAGACGATATGAATTCTAAAATTGGTTTGTTGTTATATTCCATACACATACTTTAGGTAAGTTTTTTTTTCTTTTAAATTTCACCGTTTAAGAGTAGCTACAATTACAAAGTGCACGATTAAAAGATTTACATGGCCGGGGCGAAAAGAAGAATATAGTTCTTTAGCTCGGAATACAAGTGGCGAATCGATAATTTATTAACATTATATATATAAATGTAATTAACTAATTTATATAAATTAAACATTATGTTACTGAAAAAAAAAATTTATTTCTTTAATTTTATTTTATATATATTTTCACAACTACATATTAGTTACAACTTTTTTCACATCCTATATATACTAAGCAAAATATACTTCCGTTACAAAAGGTTATATTTAACCAAATACCGCTAAAATATATCTAAAAAAAAAAACACTCTGTTAAAAAAGGAGAAAAAGTTAAAAAAATAAAATAAAATAATTTTAAATTTAGGAAGCATTAACATAATATATTATGCAATGTTTGCTTAGATAAATTATACTGTTATAGAGAACTCGTAGAAGTTTGTATAAGTCTTATCGAGAACCTTTGTGTAATACGCAAGGTACACATTAACATTGTGATTCTTATGCACAAATATTTTAAATATTGTGATAAAATTTTGTTTTATTTTTTCTAGTTGTATTTTCTCTCGTAGATTGTTTTAGTTCAAACTTTGATTAGTCACGTGAACTAGAACAATTCTTTGTAATTATCTATATTAAGAACAAGATTTTTAAGTTTTGATTTTAAAGAAAATATATTGTCAGGAAGAGTAATGAAGGTGTATTTCGGAATTAGTTTGTTATATAAATAGGGGCCGCGATAAGAGATAGAGAATTAAGAGAATTTTTGTTTTTTTCGGGGTGCAATAAAGTTACCTGTTGCTCTTATGTTAAACTTATTGGTAATTAATTGAAAAAAGTTTTCTGTAAATCGTGAAGGAACTAATCCCATTTTGTATTTTCAAATAAATAGTATATTAGCATAGATTTAATTTGATAAGTGTTTGATATTTTGATAAATATTTAGCGCTTACATTTCTTTAGTAAGGGTTTGGCGTGTGTATGTTTGTTTTTATGATTTGTTATTCTAGAAGCATGTTTCTGCTGTCGATTATAAGACATTAATTTTTTCTTGTTTGTGCTTCTCCAAGCAATGTTAGCATATATAAAATTTTTATTTATTTACGCCAAAAAAAAATATTTTAAAGTAAAGAATTTTCAAGTTTTTTTGTGATTATATTGGCCTAGTCTTGAAAAGTAAACCAAGAATTTCAAATATTTGAGTTGTAATGGGCTTTATATGGGCAGTCCAAATCTATAACGTTGTATTAAAACGTTATATAAAAATTATTATTTACATTTACATAACTTTAAATTTACATAAATTAAATAACTACATATTTATATATAACGTTAATAAATTTTCGATACGACACTTGTATTCCGAGCTAACGAGTTGTTTTATCTCTAAGCCCTGTAATATATACCATATTATACCAACCGTAAGTTACATAGCTTACAAAAATAAGATATAATATATAATGTATAAAATATATATAAAATATATATAAAATATATTATATAAAATAAAACAAAAGCAAGTGTTTCAAATAGTTTGCAATGTAAATAGATTAAATAAATAGTTTGCAATGTCAAATTATTATCCAGAAAAATTGGAGCTCATAATATTTATGACTTGAACTATTTTCAAAACTATGTATTCATGTTTTAATCGCAAAATAGTTTGCTCCGAAAATACTCTGAAAATTAGTTTTTCATCATTGATCACAATTAACCTTTTAAAAAATCCATTCTTAACTTTAAAACTCCCTATATTTCTACTTGCTGATTTTGCCATTTTATCGTGCGGATTACTACAATAGATAATGTTTCTTAAAGAGAAAATAAAACAAATGATATCACCAAATTCTTTTAAAACAGTCAAACATTACTTATTTTTAAATAGCAAAATGGTTATATATTGACCAAATTAATTCATTATTATATCTTCAGGCGCTATTTCCGTTATTGAAAACTTTATTTATAATTAAATTATGAGCAATATAATCAAATTTGTTTATAAAAGGATTTTCAAGTAAAATGTTTTTAATTAAATTTTTTATTATATTCTTTAGTGAGTTAGTTTATTGAATATATTCAGTAAGGTGTTAACTTTTTTGCTTGTTCATCTATTTAAAGTCAACACCCTAATATTCAGTTTTAGTATTTATTATTTAAGTACGATTTATTGTTTTTATTTTGTTTTTACGTACTTTTTTGTAAAAAGGGGTTTTATTATTATTTTACGTACTCTCTATAGTAAAAGGCTTCTGACAATCATTGTGATCTTCTTTGAGAATCCTGAGAATCCACAATCTAGGGTCGAGATCCAAACTAATGAGTTAAGGCAAATGAATATTGTTGTCTTGAAAAAGGAGCAGTAAAGTTAAGGTGGTCCTATACTAAAAAAAATCAAAAAAATCGATTTTTCAAAAATGTCATATTCTTGAAGCCCAAACACTCTTTATTCCAAATATATATAGATCATCATAGTGAGTAAATTTAAAAATGCTCTAAAATAGCAAGTTTCATAGTGAAGTTAAATAATTTTCTTAGCAACGGCCTTAGCAACGGGTTGTTTATATTATAAAATATGTGTTTTAGAGTGTTGCGCCATTTACTATAAGTTTTTGACACTGGTGCCAGTAACTGTTTCATGTTTATTTTTCTAAATAAGCCATGACCTTTAAGTACAATTACTATGTTTACATATATTACTTATAGAAAAACTATCAGCCTCGTGTTATACTTTATTTGCTCTGTGCTTGTTTTTAATACGGGAAAAATTAAATGTGATTCAAGTTTAAGAAGGAAAGCAGGTGGTAACAGGATTTTCAAAAAAAAATACTTTAAAGAAAATCAATTTTCCTCAGCATCAACAATTAACATTAATTTAACTTCTCAATTGGAAATCACTAACTTAACTCAATCAAAAATCTTGACATCAACATCTTCAAAAAAGTTTTCACAACAAAGAAACACACTACCAAATATTCTACCCTCTCTAAAAATAGAAAATATAGTAATTGAGAGAACTCACGAAACTAAATTTTTAGGAGTTATAATTGATGAAAATTTATCTTGGAAAAGTCACATAAATGCTTTAAACACTAAAATATCAAAAAACATAGGTCTACTTTATAAAGCAAAACCTATGCTGTCGCAAAGTAATTTAAAACTTATATATTTCTCTTTTATACACAGCTACCTCATATATGCGAATATAGCTTGGGCGAGTACGCATATAACCAAATTGAAAACTTTATATCGACGTCAGAAACATGCTGTTAGACTTATCTACCATAAAGACAAATTTACACACACTGAACCCTTATTTAAAGAAATGAATGTGCTTAATATTTATCAAATTAATATTTACCAAAATATATTGTTTATGCTAAAATTTAAATTAGGTCAAGTACCAAACCATTTTTTAAATAACTTTTTTATAAATAACGTTAATAAATATAACACAAGAGAAAAAGGAAACTTTATTACACCTTTCAAAAAAACAAAACTTTCCCAGTTCTCAATTTCATATCGGGGTCCTTATTTATACAACAAACTAGTAACTAAAAATAAATCAATCTGCAATCTAGATTCAATTTGCAATCAAAATTTCTTGAAAAAAAAGTTAAAAAATCTGATACTGAATCTAAACAGATACTCAGAATTCTTCTAAGACTATAAATTAAAATACATATATATCAACTACAAAGTGAACTGACTCGTTTATGTGTATTATCTAAATGAATCTTTTTTTTTTTCTCAAATTTCTCAAACAATATATCAAAATGTGTTTATTACACACAAAAAAAACACTTGATTTTTTCTTATCAAGTTTAGTTATTATGCTGCTAGTTATGTCTAATATTTTATACTGAGCTTATTTTGAGTTTATTTTTTATTATGAGCTAAATTTAAAGAATATATAAACATAGTTGTACTTAATATATAATTATATTTAACATAATCATAATAATATATCAAACACATTGTAAGTGCTTTGTGATAAGATCATTACGATCTTCTTGAAGTCCGGCCTGTACTATTTAATTATAAATTTCACATAGCAGTAAAAATAGTAATGCAAAAATTAATGATTCAAATAAATTGCCTTCATGCTTTATACTTATTGACACAGACATTTTAAAATCAATTGTTACTTTGATTGGACATTGTTTTTAATGCCATAACAATTCAATTAAAATCTCAACTGATTTATCAAAAAAGAAAGGCTTGGCATTGTTTTTAAACATTTCTTGTGCAACACCTTCATGCGATTGGAAACAGTCTTTTTATTCTAGCAAAGAGATTGAAAAGCAAGGTCCAGGAATGTCACTATTTGAAATAAGTTTTAGATTTTTTGTTGCAATAAGAGAGATAGGAAAAAGTCATTCTGGTTTGGAAAAATTTTGTGGTTTCATGAACTTTCCTCCTCCAATGAATATAAAAGCATTTAATGATGTTCAAGATAAAATTCAAATCATATATTAAATTGTAGCTGATGTGAAAATGAAAAATGGAGCAAATGAATTTTGATTTCTTAACAATGATATCCAACCAAATGATTTTGATATTAATGTAATAGCTGATGTTGTTGTTTCCTGTAATGGAACATGGCAAAAAAGGGGTCATTCCTCACTTAATGGTGTTGTTACTGTTATTGCTAGTGACTCAGAGAAATGTGTTGACTAATGAGTTATTTCAAAAATATGCAATGCCTGTACATCATGGGAATCAAAAAAAGATAGTGATCCAAAACTTTATGAAAATTTTTTAGAAACCCATGATTGCTTAAATAATCACGAAGGTTCTGTTAAATCTATGGAAGTTTCTGGAATTGTAGATTGTTTTATGAAATCTATAGTCAAAAGGTATATTAAACATATTTGAGTATTTAAATGTTACACCAGGTACATTTGCCTCAGTACTAAACCAAAATAGACCAAGAAAGAATAAAGATGATGGAAAAAAAGTTGCTTAACACAATAAAACAAAAAAGAAAGCTGCTTCGTGCAGAGCGAAAAGGTTTTACAGATATAGTAAATGAAAGTGAAGGTGTATCTTATGAAGCAGGAGTTTTTTAGATAATAGTTTTTTGTTACTTTTTTAATTAAATTTATGTTAAGGCAGTTATTGTATTTTTTAACGTAGTTATTGTTTGTTATCTTTTTATATTCAAGCTTTTTTTCATTGATTGAATAATTCTATTTTGGTTAAATTTTTTTCAATTATTAGAGTTTTCACATTTTTCTTTTTTCTGTGTTTTTAGTAATGCTCAAGTCGTTTTGTTTTCAATAATTTTTTGACCTTTTTATATATTAATTTTTTTTTTTTAATATTAAAAATCTTTATTATTGTTTTTCTCAATATATGAGTTTTTTACACGCTGCGATAAATATCTTGAGATTGGTTTGTTTGATTGTGTTGAAATTTTCAGGAGTTGTTACCAAAAGAATTATTGTTAGTTAACTGGTTCTAAAAATAAGGTCTAGGTTCTAAGCCTTTTCGGGGCTTTTTTTAGGCCTTAAACTGGTTTTCTTACAAAAGCTTCAATAGTTTGTTAAATTGTTTGATTTTGGCAGGGTGAGTGTAATCATCTGATATTAAAAAGCTGTGAAAATTTCATGATCATACCATTATTAGTTTACAGGCTGCTTATCGCAGCGCGTAGTCCATATTTAGGGTCCATGGACCCAAAATTTTGACCAAAAAAAAATTTTTTTAATTTTTTTTTTCTTTACTGTGCTTTAAATTCAAAATACTATTTCTTATATGAAAATCATAAAATATGAATGCATTTTTAAAATTTTGGTTTTATTAGTATAGGACCACCTTAATCGAGTATGAAAATGAGTCAAACCATTCTAAGCAATGAGCATAAAAAGGTCACCAAAAACAACTGGTAGCTGAAAATGGTGTTTGGTTGCTAACAGGTGTTTGTTTGCAAAGAGACAAGTAGTTAATTTAAATAAGAATGTTTAGGCATTAGCAATTTTAGTTTAAATTAAAGTTCATTATTTAAAAAAAAAATTAAAAAATTTAAAACCAAAAACTACAAAAATTAAAAACGTTATATTAAAAAAAACAACAGGCTTGATTAATTTGATTGGAAACAACATCGAAAAGATTGCAATCTTGTGGAAGAAAACGATAATTTTTCGGCGATTAGCTAACGAGGAGCTAAGCTAAAGCACATATAAGTCAGAGTATTCAAACCTGATTTCGCAAAAATAAGTGTAAATGTAAGTATATAAATAAGTAAATACCAAGACCAAGCATGTAACTATTGGAGTCTTAGTGAATAATAGCGAAAAATTCGAAAGATAGATAAAAAAGCTGAATTTAAATAAATCTCACAAAGAGCAAGTCTGGTAAATATTGCAAGAGGTAAAATTCAACAGATCAAAAGTTACTTGGAAGACCAGGAATAGTCGTAAAGGACTAAAATAACTATAATTTGTATAAGGATTTCAATTACCAGTATGCTGTAACTGTTTTTAACTAAATCAAATCAGCGATCTTGGTACACGAGTTTAACTCGATATTTATAAATATACACGTAAGACACAAGTTAAAAAACAAAATCCACGAATTTGATTAGATGACGTAAATATACACATAAAAAAATTAAATAGATTTTTCATTTACAAAACCTCTAGAAATTAAACAAAAATACTGAAGAGAATATTTAATTTGTTATAGAAATTTTAACGAGTATCAAATTAATCTTCAATAAATAAAAAGATCCTTAGAAAGACATTCATATTACATTTTTCCATTTTTTTGGAATCATTATTTTGAACTATAAAAAATATAAATTCACATAATTAACAAAAAATTACAAATTTGCGGAATTAACCAGTCACAAGGTTTTCCGATAATGTTGCGTTATCTAAGTAAAAATTATGGAACTGATTGAGAAAATTTACAATTATTTTAGCGTCTAATTCTTTAAATAACATAACTAAGTTAGTTTTTTTTTACAGGAGCAAATTCTTTTAAAATATTCCTCGCAATTTTATAATTATTGTCTGATATCATTAAAGCTTTTTTAATTGCTTTTGGCGAATAACCTTGTAAAATTAGAGATTGGAAGTTATCCTCTGTGCTGTGAGTATTAGTTAGGAACTCATTGTCAGCAGAAGTATGAAATTCTTCACCAACGTTCTCTTTACGGTGAGGAGGAACAGGCGGTAGTAATTTATTAGTCGCTATGGAAGTATCTGAATCAGTAGTATCGGTAATTCGTTTTATTTGAGAGAAACAAGGAGATTGTTCATTAGCACCAGAATTCAATGTTGAAGCACTTGGAACTGTGACGTTTGATGGTTTTGCGTTTAGATTATAAAGGTCATTATCTCCTAAAATTTCTTTATATCCTTTATCCGCTTCATTTAATGTATTGTTACAATGAGAAACATCGCTACGCCAAGTAGATGTTTCTTTTGATTTTATTGATTCATTTAAAGCGTCTAAGAAATCATCACTAGAACACCCATAAATTGTTAAAGAGGGATCCTTTGCCACTACTTTTGAAGTATTCTCGTGAAAAGGATTTTCTGAGAACTTTCTTACTGACGTTTCCCCTTCACTTTTTTGAAACGATAACTTTTTTGACGAGGCTTCACTATCGCTTATGCTTCTTTGATGTTTTTTATCATGTGTCCTAGATGCTGGTTCTAAAGTTCGTAATTGAGAAACGTCTAAAGCTTCTTCACTGGAGGTAAATGTTGGGGATTCGGAAATAACATGCTCTTCATCTTGACGTGATTCTAACGACGAATGCAACGGTTTATTAGATGTCATAAAGGAATTTGACTTTGGAAAAAGAAAAGGATCTGGGTTAAAAATAGAGTCATACTGTTTAATATTCAATTCTGGATCATAACTAGATGCTGGTATTGGCTCCACATTATCAAATTCAGTTGAGCGATCAAGAGCATCGTCTGATTTAGCTCGTCTAAGAGGCGAAGTTTGTTTCAAATTAGATTCATTCCACTTAATTTTATCGTTCTCTGTGAAAGAATGACGATTTGTTGATTTTGGAGGAACCGTATCAGGCTGAGAAAGTAGTTCTTTCTTTCTCATTGGAACTGGTGGAATTTCAGTTTCAACCGAATGCAAATTTTTTACTGATGATAAATTTCCATCATACGGTTTAGGCTTTCTAGGGTAGGCATCAGCAGTTGAATCTAACAAATTTTTTTTTTTAGACTTAGGAGAGCTATGAGGTGACATATTGGGTGACATATTGGGTGAATGATGCGGGGAACAACGAGGACTACCCTTAGGCGTTGCAGCCTTAGACCATATTTTTTCGAATGTAGGAGCTCTATCTGGAACAGGAGGAGGACTCAATATCACAGGAGGATTGTTAGTAGAAGAATTCGAAGAGTTTTTAAATGATCCCAAAAACAACACTTTATCAGTGGCATGAGCTCCAACTACATTGTGGTTTTTTAACACATCATTTTTATTGGTGTGTGAAAACAATGATGATTGAGATGTAGCAGAACTGGCAGCCTGACGATGAGTGGTTGTACCCTATTTATTAAGCAAACAATTAAAAAGCAAAAAAAACATGATGGTATGACAAAGGCGCTTGAGATAACAAGTTAAGCAATAAATAAAGCGCACTAATTAAACATCAATTTCGTTTGGGCAATTCGAGGTGATAGTGGTGGGGGTTGAAAATCCTAGTTAAAGAAAGAAAACTTTGCTAAGCTAAACACCTTTGCCACGTTTTTTATATATACATTTTTAAAATTGAAAACTTTTGCATTAACAATAATAAGAATATTATTATTAATTTGTATTTAAAATCTAAAAAATTAAAATATTATTGTAGATTACAAATAAAAAATTTGTAATTTACAATATTAAAAGTACTATAAAAAAAGTTTGTAGAATACAAATAAAAAATTGATTAAAAACAAAAAAAAAAATTAACTTTTTTTTGTATTTAATTATATATAAAAATTCTTTAAATCCGAGGATAAATATTTGTTTTGTTTGTTGAATGTCAACAAAAATGATAATAACAAAAAAACCTACAATTTTATTTTTGGTTTACTAAGAGCTGATTGATAGCTGAGATGACACATCTTTGTTTAATGCTTGGATCTAGGCATCCTACTGTCTTTTAAGGTACTGCTAAATTAAAGTTCGACATAATTAAATTACTACTTACCGTCTCATTAGTTTTATTGTCACAATCATTGATAAATTTTTTATCATTTTGGTTTTGGTCTGTCTCATTAACTGGTTTGAAACTTGTTTGATTTGTGTGTTTTGGAAGTGAATTTTGTTCTAACATTGATTGTTGCTGTTTAAATCGAGGGGCATAAGCATCAATAACAACACTTTCTATTCCTTTGATATCAGAACGACAAAAAGGGCAACCTAAAAAATTGAATTTGAATTAAACAACTAAACATCTCTAAGTAACTGTTACTAAAATATATATTTTTTAAACCTTGTCCTCCTTCCTGCCAGTGTTGGAGGCACAGGTGGCAGACTAGATGTCCACAAGGTTCAATTTTGGTATCCTTGTCATTTTCAGCACAAATCTTGCAAAGTTGAAAAGTTGAACCCATCTCAACATATATTTCATATTGCTCTTCTGTTACTTGAATATGTTGTTCAGCTGCTTCAACCAAAAAAGGTTGCAGATCAGGATTAGTGTCATTGCCATTTGGATACAAATAACTGAAAAAAAAAAAACAATTTTTAAATTTCAAATATAAAAATAAATTAAAAATATATACATGAAAAAAAAAATTAAAACAAAATTTTTTAAATATACTGTAGAGGTGTGCCGATGCCTCCTTTTGATGCTGATTGGTACAAGTTGATGGCATTGCCCTTTAAATATTTTTTGAAACTTTTTTATCAGGAGCTACCTACATTTAGGTAAAAAATATATAAAGGTTTGAATTATGGCATTAGCCATAAATTCAATTTTGGTCTTTTTTTTTCTTACTAATAGATTACTAGTAGATGAGGATTTTTTTTCAAAAATAATGTTAACTGTCAATTTTCATGCTTATTTGCTATAACTTGATTAATGCTTAGTTACTTTGATTTATTTATCATATAATAATAGTTGATTTATTTTTATTTTGTTTAACTCCTAGATTTTATATATATATATATATATATATATATATATATATATATATATATATATATATATATATATATATATATATCAAAATAGTCTAATAGACTTTTTTGATATATAATAAACGTTCAAAGCAATTTGTAAATTTTGAATCAAATCAAAAAGAGGAACATAGGACAGAAATTTGTTTTTTCATTTTACATTACATTTACATTTCTTGATTTTAAACTTATCTTTTTGTAAGGTTGGATACATAAGTCATATTATTGCTTTCCTGTATTATAAAAAGACATTAAATGTAGGTAGCTCCTAATAAAAAAGTTTCAAAAAATATTTAAAGGTTTAGTGGTTGCAGATATGTCTAAATAGTAACTTAATCTTATTTATTCGTTTTTGTTTATGGGATAATTATACTTTTGCATGCGATATAGAAACACAAAAATAAAAGAAACTGATTTTTTAAAACAATTGGCATAGGTTAACAAAACTGATACTGATGCATTGGCAAAATGATTGATGCATCGGCAGACCAATGCCGATGCAGCAGTGCACCCCTAATTTATTGCTACTATTTTTGATATATAAAAGGTTATACATAAAGTTACACAAGCTTATAAACTATTTAGTGACACAAGGTTATTGTTTTAGGTTCCAGAAAGTTATAAATTATTAAGTTACACAAACTTATAATTTATTAAATTTCAAAAGATTATAATTTTTAAGGTTACACAAAATTATAAACTATCAACCCAAAAAAATCTAGAACATTTTTATATAAAATCAAAATTAAAACTACAACCTTGGTCACACTCGCTACGCTTAGTTAGAAAGGGGCTCTATGAAAAGATTGAGGTGATATTGCATCATCTATATCTTCTTTGAGTCTTTTTAAAATATTTTATTTATTGATATTCACCAATGAAAACTCATCTGTAATTTATTTTAACAGCGAAATATAAAATGAAATTAAAAAAAAAAAGTAACATTTCTACCAATTGTGAGCTAACCACAGAAAAAAAAAAAATTAATGTAATTCAGAATCTGGTTCAAAATAAACATAGTCCTATTTAAAAGTGTTATATACTTAAGTGCTTATATACTTCCTGACGTGGTAAAATTAAGTCAAGATGGTCCATTTTCAAAATTGGCCACTTTCATTTTATAAATATTATATGATCAAATCAAAAGATATATTGATAACTAATAAGATACATACAACCCATCACGTGCACCGTCAACTAAAGCTTGCATTAATGTTTTGTGTTGTGGAATAGTTTGCAAAATTGTGCCATCAGGAGTGACATAGCCAATAGCCCATTGCCCCAAACGTGTACACGATAATCGAAAAATATAGCTTTAAATAAATATAAATTTTTGAAAAAATTTTTTTTTTTAAATAAATTAAAATTATTTTATTTAAAGCATAATAAAGTAATAATAAAACTTTAAACATATAAAAAAAAACAAAAAAAGATTATAATGAACTCATCTACCTGCCAGGCTTTTGCATAAACTTTGAAAGAGACTCTTTAACTTCATCATATGTTAAAAATGCTAAATATCCAGGATGAGTGACAGCTAATAAATTCCAGTTTTGAATTATACTAAACCACGGGGCAAAAAGACGAGTAAACACATCAAATTCAAATATTGAAACATGCTCATTGACAACAAAATCAATTGTGGTTTTTAAGGCTATTGCTTCTATATTTGAAGATATCGGATGAACTTCTTGTAAATGTTCACGAAATGTTTTCCATGACACAATTGTTTTGCTAAACAAAAATTCCTGAGGTTTTATTTTATTACTTTATAAATTTTAATTTTATTTTAAGCTTTTTTTAAATAAAAATTTAAATTTCAATAATTTTTTTTTTAAATTACATAAAGTTGAAGAGATTTTTTTTTTTTAATTACACTGAAAATTTTTAATTACGCTGAAAGAAAAAGACAAAAAAGTAAATAGACGAAATCATGGCCTACTTAAAATATACGGCATTACATCCTGCATTTTTGCCAAAAAAATAGAAGGCCATTTACTTAAACAGCTGCATGTAAAATATGGCTAACAAATGTTGTGTTGTTGGATGTCGATCTAATTATTCAGGAAATTATTCAATCCATTCCTGTATTTTCTTTTCCTTCAAATGAAGATATAAAAAACAGATGGATTCGATTTATGAACAGAAAAACTGGCGACTAACTTCCTCATCAGTAGTCTGTGTTAAACACTTTGAAAATAACTTATAAAGAAGGGCGAACAAGATAAAAGATTCCGTTCAATTAAAACTTTGAAACCAGTCCCTACTATTTATTCAAATTATATAGAAACACCATCTTTATTAACTACAGTTTCACTACAAAGAAGATCTCCTAAAAAAAGGGTTTTTCAAGAAGATGAGTATAAATTATTTTTAACAACAGATTCTATACTTGATTTAGAATCAATCAATGAAGCAGACAGCCCACCAGGTATACCTTTTCAAAATATTTAGATTATGTTGTTTTTTATAAACTTGAATTGAACGATGAGTGTGTTTCAGAAGTTATGGAATGTATCAAAATTGATAAAGACTTGCATGTGAAATTGTTTCTTAAAGGTTTTCCTGTATCTTTACCACATTGGTTCAGGCATAGGAGCAATTGTAAACTTAGTAAGAGAAGCATGCTCAAAAACTTTCCTTTATATCTTAAAGAACAAGCAGAAAATATTTGTTTTTTAGATGAACTTCAAAAACATCAATTTAAAAAAAGTCAAGTTTATTCAACTGGTATTATCCAATATGCTTTATTCCTATGTTATACTTCACTTCAATCGTAAAACTTCCTCTTGAACAGTTTACTTTATCTTCACTTTCTCTTTTAAACAAGATAAAAGAAGGTAAATTGAAAGTTGCAAAGTTATTGATGGAAAATAATTCTTTATCAAAGGATATTATTGTTTTATTGGATGAAATGTATTTGCAAAAGTGTACAGGGTATTGTGGAGGAGAATTTATTGGTATCGATGATAAGAATGAACTTTACAGAAGTATTGTATGTTTTATGATAATTGGTTAAAGGAAAACATACCCTGCATTATTAAAGCTTCGCCAGTTGCCAAAATCAACAGTGATTGGTTAAAAGATGAAACTTTGAGCTGCTTAGATATTTTAACCAAGAGTGGTTTTTAGAGTCAGAGGTATTGTATGTGATAACCATGCTACTAATGTTTCGACCTACTCAAAGTTATTGAAGTTACATGATCAAGATGCTCAAAGTTTGTTTATAAATTTTCAATCACAAAAAGTTTATTTATTTTTTGATGTCGTACACCTGATAAAAAATGTTCAAAATAATTTGTTCAATAGAAAAAGATTTATTTTTCCTGAATTCAATTTTTGACTTTATTTTGACTGCTTGTTTCCAAAGTGAAACCCTATTGAAAGACGTTTTGGCCAATAGCGCAAATGAGTGGTGGGCGGTTTTTAGTAAGCTTGAAAAATGTTTTATATAGTGAAAGAATAATAAAATCAATTCAAATCAAATAAAAGAATCAATTAATATTATAGAAAATGATATCAAAGTTGATGAGACGAAACATTTAAATGAATTTTTCAAATAAAATAGAAAATATTAACTTGAAAAATTTATACTCTCTGATGAATCTCATGAAGTTGCAGTGTATATGCTGGGTATATTGCAAAAAAGTTTGGAGAATGTTGCAAAAATTTTGCATATGTAATAATCTTTCAATAGATTCACAAGATACACATTATTTGAATATTTTATCAAGAGGTGGGCTGATAGTACCATCATCATATCTTATTGATAACGTTTGTGACAGTTTTGCATATATTGATTGTGTTTTTGATATCATAAATAGTTCAAAACCGCAAGATAGGAATGCTGCCAAACTTGTTCTCAATATTGCAATGAAGCATGAAGCATTTTTATGTTTCACCCACTGGGTTAAAGGGCCAGATCATGTGCACCACACTATTTCCAACATATACTTCAACAATAATAGAAAAGTTATTACTGACTTGGTTCATAAAGACACTATAGTTGCTTTTAAAAAAAGACAAAGATTCAAACAATTTTTAATACATACTTTTATTTGTGTGAGTTTTACTTCCTGCATGTTTATTGTTTTGTTTTCACAGTTAATTGCTTTGAACTAATTTTAATGTATAAGTAAAAGAAAATTTGATATGCTTCACATGTAATTTATATATAGTTCAAATTCAAATTTTCTAAGTGATTTCGGCTATCCAACAATTATGATGTAGAAATTAAATATATATATTGAATGATATATTGAAATGTAACAATTAAAAGTTAGTTAAAAAAAAATTGTCTTAATAAAGTTTACATTTTCTTTCCTTGGATATGTTTTTGTATTTATAGGTACAAAATAGAAATCATCATCATAAATATACTTTAAATAAATATACATTAGTATATTTTTTATATATCAGAAGTAGTACCTCTTATTTATATTCATATTGTGTATTAAAGAACTGCAATTATAAACATAATATTTTACTGGAATAAGAAGACCTAATAGGTATACTCAACTATCTATATGTCTTTGTATATTATTAATATAACTTATAATAAACTTCTGTTTTGTCTAAACTGTTGCAGTTACTGCTAATTTTTAGTAGATAAAATTGTTGATATTTGCTTTCTTTATTTTAAGCACAAAAACAATATAAAATTTTACACTTAATCTAGTTAAACTCAGTTAAACAATTTAAGCTAAAAATTTATGTTTGCTAAAAACATCATTTCAAATTCAAATTATGCAAAAAATCAAACAAACCAATTTTGTATTTTTATACTAAATATTAATTTAATTTGCCTTGTTTTACCAGTTTATTTTTATATCACATTGTCAACACTAAAATAGTTAACTTCTTTAAACACCAATTAACTCTTGTTTTCTCAAACTGTTTCATTTAGTCCTTTTATTTTGACTAACTGATTACTATTAAAATTCTCTGGTTATATTAAATCTCAGATAACTCAAAGTTGAACCCATTTTTTCCCCATTCAGCAGATTTCTTCAGTCAAACGTTTTGTTTGGGAAGTTAGAAAATCAAAATAACTTGATTGAATTTTTTTTTTAGAAGTCATTTTTTATAAAACATATTTTACATATATTCGCATAAAACTATATATATTTCTAATATTTAAATCTGAATAGAAAAGATTGTTAACAGACGCAAAATAATGTTATAATGAAACTGTTAAAAATATAAATCATGATAAAAGTCATGGTGTTGCTAAACATTTTTCAATGTTACTTTTTGTGTGTACAGCATAAATAATCAGGGTGTAAACTAATGTGAAATATGAAATTTACGAGCTTGTGTTTACTATTTTCAAAAAAAAAAATTATTTTTAAAACATTTCTTTTGATGACACAATTTATTATGTGACGGTGTAAGGGTTCGTCCGTTATAAGGACATCAAACAGAATTTAAAGATCGCTATACTATTTTAAAAATCTCTAATCACTTTAAAAATTGCCTTTTAATGCCCACCAGTGAAAAAAATATATATTCAAAAAATACTCTTAACATGAAAGCGGCAACGATATATTAGAATTAAAAGTTAATCAAATAAAAATATATTATTACAAATACAAATTTAAAAATATTTTTTTATTAATAGTTTATTAATACACACTGATAATATTTATAATATAATATTTATAATTCTGAATATATCTTTGGAAATCGGAGCTAAATTTGCCTTGTCATTGTGAAACGTTTAATTTTTTTCATATTAATCTTTAATATGAAAAAAATTAAGTCTTGATTTCATATTAATCTTTAATAAATGATACAGAAGGTATTTTGTTTTATTTTTGGCGCTGTCCAATTAATGTTTGCAGCGCTAAAGTGAAGTAGAAAAAAAAAGACCCCATACATTTTCGGTACACATTTTTATCTCACGGGAGGGGGGGGGGGGGGAAGGTTTATTTGGAAAATTTTTTGACAAATTCCCTATTTCGTCAAAACGATGTATCAAATTTATTCCTAGTTAACACCTAATATACATGCTTTCTATTCTATATTTTGTAACTTATTTCATGGTCCTTTGGAGGTTCGAGTTATTGGGAATTAACTTTATTAATTATTGTTTATTAAGTGAGCCTGAGACTTAGGAAAAATGAGGTCGTAATAAACTGCCAACCTTAAACTATTAGAGGTAGGCAGCAGGTCAGCTAAAACAATTTGACACAAAGGGGTTACCATCAAATATAGAAAGGAGGTCGACAATTTTTGGCAGACCTCGAACACTTCCAAGTCAGCAGTTAGGTTGGTATTGCCAAATGCCAAACTTAATTCCAAGAGCTGATATAATACAATAATATTGTAATAATATAAAGCTACAATTGTGTTAGTAATTTATTTAACATATAATTAAAAATTAATACTTAGTTTACATACATGTTAACTTGGTGTTGCTTTAAAGTTTAGGGCATTCAGGGGGACAAGGAAATATGTTAGCATAAATGTTACTTAGTTACTAGTAACAAACTTACTTGACTTAATTAAAAGCAGTGTTTGAAAAAAAAAAAGTTGCATGGTATGCGTACTACACAGTAATTGCACTAATGAACAAGTCTTAACAGGTTTTTCTGTTAGTAGGCCAAGCCTGTTACTGGGAAACCAATTTCGTCATTGGCAAAGCATGACAAAATTGGTTTCCCAGTAACAGGCTTGGTATATTTAGGATATTTTTATCCGGTAATTTTTTACTGGATAAAAATATAAAAATT